GGGGGGTATTGGAGCTTGGAAATGATTTAATAAACAATGGATATACAGGAACAATATGCCATAACCATGTGCAACCGTTCAGAATCTTCCTTTGTCAGTGTAGTTTGACTGTTAAAAGAGATTTAAAAGTTTTTGTTTTTTTTGGCTTCCCTTTTCGGTCACAGAAGTACATTTACTAATGTACTCCTGTGACCCAAACTTGCATTTAGTTGCTATTGCCCACTATATACTGACAGCGCAGAGCCACGCTGAAGTTGGGAAGGATCCCAACACTATTGCCGGCATCTACCCTGCTGCCTGATTGCAGCTGGTTCTGCCTCTCTAGAGCCAGAGCCATCTGTGCCCGCCCCCTCCCGTGTCTGTCCCTCCAATGTGTGCTGGAGGAACACAGAGAGAGAGAGAGAGAGGGGGGGAGAGCTGCTGCTCTCTGCAGGGAGAAGACTTTAAGCTGAGTGATCAGTTCACAACTATAGAGCCGGCATGCGACAGCTGCAATGTCACATGCCAGCCTTAAGTATTGGAAGAGTAAATTTGACTCTCCCAGTACTTCTCCTTTAAGGGAAACCTGTGTTGAGTGAAATATGTAGGAAATCTATGTAGCCTACCATTATTATTATTATTATGCAGAATTTTTTTAGCGACAACAGTTTGCGCAGCGTACCATTACCGATCTCTTCTGAAAATGCTGCCTGCCTTACTCCCCTGCCAATCTATTGACTTCACATCTTTTGATCCACTGACCTGGAACAGATATGCAGATCAACAGTTCTGACTCCATCGAAATTTTCTTCATGCTTGTTGAGTGGCTCAGAAAGTATTGCATTCGTTCGATCAGGAATGGAAAGCAACTAGAATTTTCAGGATTTCTTAAAAAGATCTGTGTGGGTTGTGGTACCCTTTTCTTCTGGGCTAATCTAAAACTGGATTTTGACAGAATCGTGATGAATTGGCCTGAAATTTGAGCCGTCGGTGGCCCTGCCGACACCACCCAGCTTGACAAACTTAGATTGAAACATTTTAAGGAGCCAGATGGAGAACTGTCCTATCAGATGCACTAACTGGGTATTCAGTCTGTTCTGGCGCCAGCTGTCTGAGTACAATAGCTGGCAGGGGAGATTCCTCCATTCACGCTGTTTGGAGGGGATGGGAAAATTGATAGATTTCTCTCATTCAGCTTGGGGGGGCTACATTGGGGAAATGTAGACGTGTATGGCCAGCTTTAGTAGTAAACCGTTGTGTGCATGTATTTTGTGACTGATATAGCAATGCCTGTTTTTGCTTAAACCAGATTTATTTGCTATTCTGTTTCTTTTTCATTCGAGCCTATCTCAGCACCTTTTCCCTCCCCTGGATGTATAGCAGGGCTTTGCTTGCTGGCTGTTCTATATCCAGCAGGCTCTTGGACCAGGCCAGCACATGATCTGTGGCTAGCATCTCCTGCCACGTCTGTACTTTTAATTCAGATGGAGGTTACTCGCGCACCCCTCTCCTCCCACCACCCCCTCTTTCCACCACCCCCTCTTTCCACTCCACAGACTCACGTTGTTCTTTGGCTTCAGACAAGTAGCGTGTCCAACGCCGAGGAGATTTTAACTCTTTGTCAAACAACACAAAGCCTTACGTTTTTATATAGTGTAAAATGAAAGGGATCAGCATGTATCATTATGATGGAAAAGAGTCAAACTAAAAGATAAAGATTTGGGTTTTTTTAGTGAAAAAGTCGGTGCCAACCCAAGATGGAAGTTCTGTTAAGATACTTGCTTTGTTTGCAGATCCCCTGAAAGTAATTGTGACTTAAAGGTTTATTGCATGCGTCTTGTTTCAGTTCAGCCGTGGCTGGTGCCTGCCCCCTGGTGGTCACTAATGAGTATGATCATTTATTTGTGAATGAAGGCTGCAAGGCTGCTCTTTAGGGACCCATTCGCATTACATGCATTGGGCAGTGATGCCAACACATAGCCAAAGCAGTTTGCCTTTTTGTCCTATTAGGTGGGTTCACACCAAAGCACTGCATTGATGTGCGCTTATAAAACTAGGACATGCTGCATTTGTACGCAGCATGTTGTGACATAGGGCATGGCAATGTGCTGTGAAATGTTATTGTGTGACATTTCAATAAAGTTTAAAAAAAAAAACACGTGATGCATTATATCAATGCATCGCCCTGCTCCTACGCAACACACACCAGCACAGTCATGAGTTATAGGGAGCATAACACGCACCACTGGGGTGAATGGGCCCTAAAGCAAACCTATGCTGTACCCAATCGGAGCAAAGCAACAGGTTTGCATGCATGCCCCCTTTCCTAGCAATGCATACTTGCCTTGCCTTCATTCTCCCCACCATTGTTTCACACTGCTGGGGAGTAGAACAAGGAAGATTCTGGAGTGTGTTAAAACACATGAGCCTGATTGACCTGGTTTTAATCAGACAGGGTCCATCATATAAGGTGGGAAGCATTGTAAATAGAGGTGGAGCACAGATTTTGAAGGGGAACACAGAATTAAAGCTGAAAGAGATTGTCTTCTATAGATTGTATTATATAAATGAGATTACTAGATCGGGACTTCATGGAAAACCACATTGGGAGATTGCACAGACAATTTTGCACTGTATTGTGGACTTGAGATAAGTTAATTCAGGTTGGCTATAAGAATACAGGGAGATCACACATAATTTGCACTGTGATTTGGTTATAATGTGCACGTGAAGATTTATTACTTATTTATTATTTTATGTATTTCTCTTTTGTTCATTGAAGGACAGAGCGAAGATTAGTCGATCTTGACCACTTGGTTATACTGCCACCTGCTGGAGTAGGACGCTAGGTAAAAAAAACCAAAAGACAGCCTAGGGGCGGCCTCTGCTGGTGGGCAACCCTCCGTTTGCTAACATAGCTCCAGTTTTTTGCCTAGCGTCAAGGAGTTAGGACCTAAGAATCCGTTCTGGGATTCTTTTTCTTTCCTTCTTCCCTTACTGCTCACTCTTCTAGAGCAGTTTGTGTATCTTGTGTTTTATAGTCATCAGGTTTCGGTTTGTCAAGCGGCCACCTGGTTGTCCGTTCATGCCTTTACTAAGTTTTTGGGTGCAAGGTTTTACAGGCAGCAGTTTGATGTGTCCTTCACTTCTGAGGGGGGGTTTTTTTGCCCACCCCTTGGGTGACCCTGCTTGACGTCCCAGTGGTGAAGATCTAACTTCCCTGTGTCCGTCAATGAATGAAAGAGAAAATTGTATTTGTGTACTCACCATAAAATCCTTTTCTCTGCCTTCATTGCAATACACAGCACCCACCCTCTCTGGGTTTGGCCCTTGCCATTTGTTTGATTTGGTTACTTTACTGTTTGCTACTGACTGGAGCTGTGTTAGCAAATGGGGGGGGGGGTTAGCCACCAGCAGGGGCTGCCCCTAGGCTGTCTTTTTTTTGCTTTTTGCCTAGAATCCTACTCCTGCAGGTGGCAGTATAACCCAGCGGTCAAGATCTAGAAATCTTCGCTGTGTCCTTCAATAAACACAGAGGAAAGCCAATTTTTATGCACTTAAAGTATTTTAGGGACTTGTTAAGGATGCATAATGATTTATCATTACAATTACATAGTTACATAGTATTTGAGGTTCAATAAAGACATAAGTCCATCAAGTCCAACCTATTGCTGATGTGTGCGTATATATACATACACACACACACACACACACACACACACACACACACACACACACACACACACACACA